CAAGTTCTTTGTGCATTTTTCTTTTTTTCTACTTGTTACTTTGCAATTTTTGTTATAAAATGTTTATTTACTATTTATGCAGGTTTTTTAAGGTATTTTATATTTTGATACTTAATTTCCATGATCTAAATATTATTAAAAATTAAAAGTTTGTTGTCATTTGGAAGTGTGTAGGCCTTCTTGCATTATTATGCTGTTACATTATGATTATTTGTTGTCATTTGGAAGTGTGTAGGCCTTCTTGCATTACAATGCTGTTACATTATGATTATATATTCAGGGGCATAAAATGGTCTTTAATATGACAATAATATCGCTTACCGCAATTATTTCTGGGGCAATATATCGCACAACAAAAAGTTATGACAGGCCTAGTTACACTTTTAACTGTGGTCTGACAAAAAAATACAAAACACATTACAACATCATTGCGATTATAGAAAAGAAAAAGAAATATGGGCACAAAGGTAAAAATAAAAAAATTACAAAATTATTGTCTGAATTTGTAACTCTTGTGTTGTCCACTGTCTATATATGCTTTCCAATTGAAGGTTCATGATATATACCTTTGAGCTATTTCAGAACTGGTTTATCATTGGTTGATCTACATTCTCTTTATTATTGAAAGTCAAGATTCCCTTGCACAATTCATGGCAAATTTACAAAAAGTTAATAGAAATGAGTCGAAAATATGCTTGACAGTTTGACAACTAGATCATCCATTTTGATTTGTAAGATGAACTAATGACTAGGCCTAAATGTTTTGAGGGGTAAGACTTGAGGGGATGTTTCAAGCAACATGACAATAGCAACTGATAATGTAGGAAACAAATGTACATAATCAGTTGCATGAATGTACCAAAGCAATCGCAACTTGTTCAAAAGAATAAAAAACTGCTTTTTATGATGTGCACAAGTGACCAGATGATGTGGAGGTTGAACAAGTATTTTTGAGAATTTCATTTCTGATTTGAGAAATGCACCAAAGTGACTGAGAAAAACTGTAAATAATATTTACTCACTTTATTATGGCATTTAATTCTTATGTATAAATTCTTACATTGTATTTTTTTAATTGTTGTGTAGATGATCCGGAAAGGCCTGTTTAAAGACCAACATTTCGACCAGAACTTGAACTTCCTGTATATAGAGGTAGACAAAGTGACTGAAAGGGTACGTTCCAGTTCATGTGTTGGTTTCCACTTTCATGTGTTATTTTCTCTTATTGGCTTTGATGCCATTCACACAACTATGATAACAGCTTACATCTGTTTCATGCCCTTCACCTTCTCTCACACATTCTTTTAAACTTTCAGGAGAAGGTAACCGTGATGAGCACCATTAACCCCACTAAAGACCTGCTCGCAGACATGATCGGAGGTCAGCGGTTACCTGAGGATCAGAGAAAGAAGGTCATGCAGCTTAAAGATCTGTTGGATGGTACTCTGATGCTGGACCCAGCTAAACGCATCAGCATCAACCAAGCCCTACAGCACCCTGCCCCCTTTCAGAAGATATGATACTTTAATGTCTAACCTGTGATTGTCCATTGTTCCAGGACTGAGCCAAGAGCCAATAGCTCAGAATGTTTGGAATCATCACAAGACTTTCAATTTTCTATTTTTATTCATGTTTTTCTAGTGATTTTTGTTTTGCCCAGTCATTTTTGATTCCGATCTCTCAGAATGGTCTTGTTTTTATTGTACATATGAACACATTGTCATTCACTTGAGAGAGAGGCATGTTTAGCAGTTATCAGACTTTGTCTTATTTAACTTCAGAAGTGAACGAGATGTGCAAAATGCAGCATTTATAGGTTAGTTTATTGTTCAGATGTTGAAGGCAATGGCTGGGCAAGCATATCAGAGAGACAAATTATTTTTGGGATTCTCCAATTATAATGCAAATGTGTCCTTTTTGGTGACCATTTAAACCAATGGCTTCAATTTAGATTTTTTTTATCTAATCAAGGAGTGCACCACTTTTGCTGGTTAGTAACTTCATACCGTCACCTTCCTGTTGAAAACAGTATACAATAGTTCATCATGTACAGCTGTTTAATTTTGGTTTTGCTCTAGTACATTTACCTCAAATGATACTGGAGATCACACTAGAAACCTTCTTGTCCCATTTTATTTGTCCCACCTTACAAGCCTGTCCTATTAAGAGATCGATTTTAGAAACAATTTAATTTACGTGGTCCTTAAGGTGTTATCTTAGTGAATGATGCCAAATTGTCACTTTTCGACTGCTAAATTGTAAATTTACCTGTATTTCCAAAAACTCTAAAGCTGTTGTTTTATTTTGAAAAATCTACTTTTTGGATCATTAGTCTCTATTGGTGTATATTAGCCACTTGTTATTGCTATAGTTATCTCTGGAGTTTGACTTTGGCACCACATTATGATCCAATTTCAGTATACCAGGCCTGTTAGAGATGATGCTTATATTTAAAGTCCCCAATGTTAAAGTTATCTGGTAGGAAGTGCCTCCCTCTATGCCTCCATTGAAGCATAATAGAAAAAGTCTCTCAGATATGCCCTGACAGACGGGTGATCACTTATTTTACAGTGTAAATAATTCAGTTTTCGCAGTGTAAAACTTTTTTTTTTTTCTAACTGGGATTTTTTTTTTTTTTAAATAAACTTGAAAGATTTGATTGTGAAGGAAAATGAAAATGGCTACACGGGTGTTATGTTTTTAGTAATAAAATGTTTACTTTTCTGATGTATTAACATGTTTTAACTGTTATGTAACCCGTTTTAAGTCAACTACAGTTCTTACATAATCTGTGGCATCTGAGACATGCTGAGACCTCTTCTGTTTTGACTCCGATGTGACGTTAAAGCAATCTGGATGTCTAGGTGGAAGCCTCTAACAATTTCTGCCTCCTACCATCACATTTCATGATTTAGCTACCTTACCCACATGGTTTCATATAGTCAAGCTGACAAATACAGATTAAGGTAGTAAAACAAAACTTCAAGTTGAAATAATATTGTTAATGTAGATTTATTGTAGTTATTCTAACTCATCTTAAAGATCTTGAAATTTGTTGTTGCGATCAAACTAAAGTAGCAAAAAAATTTTCTGTGATTGTGACACATCCAAGTGTAAAAGATTATTGAAAAAGACAAAATGTAGAGTGGGATCTATCCACCGGTTGTTGATTGGGTTTTGAGATGTGAGCTTGCAGTCGATTGTTCATGGATGCAGTTTAAGTGGCCTAGATGATTTTGCATACATCACCAGAAAGTCGTCTGTTTTCACAGTAAGTTTGAGTTGTGACATTTGATTAAACACTTGGTCAAAAAAAA